GGTCTGGGTAGACAACACGTAGACTTGAATACACACATTGCGCCCCTCATTGTTGCAGAGACCTCGACCAATGTAAATCGCAGGCCCAGTCCGTACCTGCATGTAAAATAGGCTCCCAGGGCCCAGCGGATTGTTCGGTATTGGTGGCCAACACGGGAACCGCAGTTCGGAAATGTGTGTCCCTGACAGACACATGGATCTACCATCATTTCAGGGGCCACGACCAATGTTTGTGCCTGCATGACAAATGAGCCCTTAAAGCCCAAGCCGACATGGAGCCCAGTGCTCGATTTTGGTGGCCTTGCACCGACATAGATCCCTGCATACATGTAGCGTCCCAGGCGTCCTGATAGTAGGGCCGGATCTTCAACTATCCAGGCCTGATAGTTGAAGATCCGTCGCTGTAGTCCGGGGCCCCCGAAGACGATCTCCAGCCAGCCTATCGGGCCTTTCGGGCACTCCAGTCGGGCCGTTGGTCGAATGTGTTCGCTATCACAGACATAAACACATTTACGCGGACAAACGATCAACTGTTAACGGAACAACACATGTGGCGTATGGGTGTTACCGTATACTTATGATTGAGCTCTAGGTAATGACGCCTTGTATGCATTACATGTTAGGTAAATTACCCATAACATGCAAGGTAAATTGAGCCAATCAATAATCTGGTCTTCAGAACGATGTCCATATTTATGCGCGTATACATGCAGCGTTTTATGTAACGTTTACGTTGACGTTTTACGTACATGTAACGTTTACGTGCATACATGTGACTTAAACAGTGAATCAGACCGGATCAAGCTACATATGTATTTCGCATTATACACACGGAGAATAGCATAGCGTGTGACGACCTGACTCGCGAAGACAGCTTCCATTTATAAGGCCGGATCGTGGTCATGAAAGTAATTACTACGGGGTGTAGAGGGGGGGGGGGGGGGGGGGGAGGGGAGTGGTGAACATGTCTACTGATGTGTTCAGCGTGGGATTTTGTCCCTACAAATAGTTCGTGTATAACGCATGTTTTCCCATTTTCCCATTTCAAATGCCATTTGCAGGTCAGATTGTCCCCATATCCCAGTCTGACGTGACGCCTCCAACCCTGATCCTTCCCCCAATACAGAGACGTAGTTACACCTATGGTTAGACCTTGTATCACAATTGGCACGAGATGGCAATTGAAAATAGCAATCCCTTTGCTGAAGAATCAAACACACATGGTATTCTGCGCATGCATTGATTACGCAGCCTGGAAGAAATTATTCTGACAGTGAGGTGTTCCGTGCGGGCACGCACACGCCTGTAGTCAAATGCGCATGGCACACCCTCGATACTGGCTTGGTCGTCGCCCCTTTGTGTCAGTCCGCGAGTGTCAGTCTGCCAGCTTCCATAGGATGGGTAATTACGTGGCGTGGTGAGGTCCGAGGTGGAACCGATCGGAGGCTCTGTTCGTGGAAAAGTCGCCTCCTTGGAAAAGGACTGAGGGCAAATACTGCTTCGCGAATCCGCCCCTCCTTTCAGCGGTAGCTCTGCCACATCGCAAACAACCGTTCGTCGAAGAGGCCGACCGGTGACGCCAGTAACCAGATATTCAAACATTGTCATGCTATAAAGAAGCAATCATCTACTGATATGGTTGTTTTTTGTTCAGTCGGCTGCTTGTCTTCCTGCTTCATTCGACAGCATTCGCCCCACCAGAGCAACCATGAGCAAACTAGGCTTTACGTGCGGCCACACTGTCGACGACATTGCCATCCCCAGTCCTGCTACAGGTCGGCTCTGAGATCGGGCGCTCGGGACGCCAGACTGGGACCAACACCGGCCAAGCTTAAACCGGGCTGCGGCAATCTAGGTTCGGAAGCGACCGACGTGGGGCCGACCCAGCCGCGATGCAGGAGAGATAAGACAGGACGGCACACCGAACTCTGTCGAAACTCGCCCCAGACTCAGTCAGTTTCCGTACTTTTGCTGACCTGCAATAGCCTGCCTGCATAACCAGCGGCACATGGTGGCGCGGTTTGTTTCGGCCACTCGTCGGTGAACGCCTTCTTCACAATGCACCCGGCCCAACGGATCAGACTGCCACCGGGTTGTCTCTTTGGCCGCGCCCGGCAACGACACCGGAACTTTCCGCTGGCGTTGTGAAGTGGGTGGCACTGGCGACCACCAGTGTCCGACAGGGCCGACCTGGGGACGCTGCCAGTGCTGTCCGGAGGCCGACCTGGGGACGCTCGCAGTCCCGTCCGCAGGCCGGCGAGGACACGCTGGCAGTCCTGTCCAGCGGAGCCAGTGCGGGGACGCTGGCAGTCCTGTCCGGAGGCCGGCGAGGACACGCTGGCAGTCCTGTCCGGAGGCCGGCGTGGGGATGCTGGCAGTCTTGTCCGGCGGAGCCAGTGCGGGGGCACTGGCAGTTCTGTCCGGCGGAGCCAGTGCGGGGACGCTGGCAGTCCTGTCCAGAGGCCGGCGGGGGGATGCTGGCAGTCTTGTCCGGCGGAGCCAGTGCGGGGACACTGGCAGTTCTGTCCGGCGGAGCCAGTGCGGGGACGCTGGCAGTCCTGTCCAGAGGCCGGCGAGGACACGCTGGCAGTCCTGTCCGGCGGAGCCAGTGCGGGGACGCTGGCAGTCCTGTCCGACGGAGCCAGTGCGGGGACGCTGACAGTCCTGTCCGGCGGAGCCAGTGCGGGGACGCTGGCAGTCCTGTCCAGAGGCCGGCGGGGGGACGCTGGCAGTCTTGTTCGGCGGAGCCAGTGCGGGGACGCTGGCAGTCCTGTCCGGCGGGGCCAGGGTGGGGATGCTAGCAGTCCTGTCCGGAGGCCGGCGGAAAGTTCCATTATGGCAGGGTTGAACCAGTTCCGCAAGGGGGCAGGAGGCCTGGAGCCGTTTACGTGGACAGTGCAGTACGCGAATTATAGGGCGACTGTCATGTGTGAGGCGGCGGATCAAAGAGGAAGGAAAGGAGGCAGGGAGCAGCTGCGACACTCCCCCCAGACTCAGGGTAACATTCTATATTAACCCTCGGCGGCATATGAAAATAAATATGCAAGATATTTGCCGCCCTATCTCCACGGGGGTTTCGCCGCCACTGGCAGGGGGTGTAGCAATCCCACAGACAAGCGGTGGTCGCCTCTGATGCGCAGTGAAGCCGTGAGGAAGGATGCCTTCAGAAGACACCAACGGGCGCGATTATAATGCTTTGCTTGCTACGCTGTGTACAATCCGGTGGAGTCTACGCTGAAAGCCTGGCTTGCACAGGTGCAAAATGCGGCAGGAAGGTGTGGTAGCGACCACACTATCTTCCGTCCCGATGATTACTGAAGTATTTCTCCGCTGTATGTTCCTCGTTTCGACCGTCTACTAACCCCCACTTTTCTTATTCTCCGCCCGTGATGCGCTTATCATAAATGCCTCTTTGACCTTGCCAAGTGTATTCTGTTTGTTCTCCGATTGCCTCAGTTTCATCGACATCATGGTGCATGGACATAATTTGCAGGTGCTGACCACCAATCACGTGCCTCTCCTAATCGTCGTCGCCTCTATTTCAGCCAAATTCGCCACTGCCAGGTGAACTGCTGCTAGAATCTCTGAAGAACATCCGTTCCCAAGATCTGAGGAACTTCTACAGTTCTAGAGAAAAGTTCAGCACTTCTCGCCACCCTGGTGGTAATCCGGTTCGGCGGGTAGCCTGCAGTGCGAACCGGGCTTAAGCGGTACTTTCTGCGCCGTCGAGTTGCTCGCCAGGCAGAGCCGTTCACCCATGGTCAACAGAGCGAAAGGCATTTGACAGCATATATTTCACGAACTTCGTGCATCCCAGGCAACACGACGACGTTAACGGGCGCCACGCAGTGCTGCTTTTGTGACGAGGGCGTGACCGACGTTCAACGCATTGGTACTTAATAGGAAATAAGTAGGGACATCATCGCCCAATGGCAAACGTGAACAATGGAATTGCATTCTTGCATTTTTCTTACGAGCCCAGTGAATACACAAAGGCAGGCGAAATAGAAACAAAGGTCTCTAAAAACAGTAACCGCGAAAAGATTTTGGATTTTCGCTACAACTTAACAGCATGTCCGCCTATACTACGCATGACCTCAAGTGTCGTCAATGACCTTATTTTCTAGCCTAGCTTACGCTGCGGGGCTAGGTTTGCAGCGTCCTAAAAGAGCATCCGGCGTACAAGGGACAGTGGCAGGAAAGTACAGTACAGCATCAAAGGGGTACGGCTGGGCTCCCCAAGCAGGCGCCGAGCCGGTCACTGGACGTGCGAAACGGGACAGAAATACAAGACAGAGCAAAAGAAATGCATGGGCGGAAGCAGTCGACCGGGCCTGCCACGCCCTCACCCGGGGTCGTGCACGGAAGACAGCGCCGTTCATACCCGGTTCGGGGCCGTCCGTACCCGGTTCGGGGCCGTCCGTACCCGGCTCGGGGCCGTCCGTACCCGGTTCGGGGCCGTCCGTACCCGGTTCGGGGCCGTCCGTACCCGGGGCCGTCCGTACCCGGCTCGGGGCCGTCCGTACCCGGTTCGGGGACGTCCATACCCCGGCTCGGGGACGTCTGTACCCCGGCTCGGGGACGTCCATACCCCGGCTCGGGGACGTCCATACCCCGGCTCGGGGACGTCCATACCCCGACTCGGGGACGTCCATACCCCGGCTCGGGGACGTCTGTACCCCGGCTCGGGGACGTCCATACCCCGGCTCGCCGGCTCGGGGACGTCCATACCCCGGCTCGGGGACGTCTGTACCCCGGCTCGGGGACGTCCATACCCCGGCTCGGGGACGTCCATACCCCGGCTCGGGGACGTCTGTACCCCGGCTCGGGGACGTCCATACCCCGGCTCGGGGACGTCCATACCCCGGCTCGGGGACGTCCATACCCCGGCTCGGGGACGTCCATACCCCGGCTCGGGGACGTCTGTACCCCGGCTCGGGGACGTCCATACCCCGGCTCGGGGACGTCCATACCCCGGCTCGGGGACGTCCATACCCCGGCTCGGGGACGTCTGTACCCCGGCTCGGGGACGTCCATACCCCGGCTCGGGGACGTCTGTACCCCGGCTCGGGGACGTCCATACCCTGGCCCGGGGACGTCCGTACCCCGGCTCGGGGACGTCTGTACCCCGGCTCGGGGACGTCTGTACCCCGGCTCGGGGACGTCCGTACTCCCAGCTCGAGGGCGTCCATACTCAGACTCGGGGACGTCAGTACTCCCGGCTCGGGGAAGTCCGTACCCCCGCTTGGGCACGTCCGTACCCCTGCTCGGGGACGTCCGTACTCAGGCCCGGTTCCGCGCATCGGCCGAATCGGGCTGAACGCGTTCGAATCGGTGTCTCATAACAGACCGACAGCACCGGACCGGCCGAGCGGTGCACCGATCGGCGCGCAAGCGATCCCGAGGTCCCATGACACCCTCCCCGCTCCCCCCTTGAAGGCACTTTCTCCCACCCCAGCCACAGAACGCGCGCGTACACAGTATATGCGGTAATCGTTATTGGACCTCTACTGGGCCGGGCGGCGGAGGCGGCGGCCACGACGGACTGTCGGCCGCTCACTCGACCTGCACGGACGGCGGGATGGACGTGGTGAACGACGGCGTCTCCAGCTCCTCGTGCTTCTTCATCTTGGTGCCCTGCGGACGGTGGGTGGCGTTAGCGGGCGGCGGCTCCACACACGGGCGACGGACCGCACGCAGAGGCCCAGAGGGAGACGCAACAACGCTCAGCGACAGCCCTTCACACGGCGAGGCATAATGGTGTGAGACCGCCGGCATCATGAGCAGTTCTGTGAAGATGCATTCAACCAACAGAAACTGACCTCTCAACCCTGGTAGGGTACTGAAGACCTGACCTTTTCCTGACTCCGTGGGGCGGGGCAAATAGCGACGGCTGCCAGTGGAGGCTAGCAAGACAAACGCTTCTGAGGACACAGCCTGCCGTGGGAGTACCGCCCACTGAATTCGCGTGGGATCGCCAGCCGGCGGGCGGGGCGGCGGACCGAGGCCGGCCGAGTACTCACGCAACAGCGGCTGGCCCCCGCTCCCTGGCCGGCGGCGGGGAGAGACAGAGGGACGGAGCGGCGGTCAGAGCCACCGGGACCGCTCGCTCGACGGCGCGGCGCGACGGGTGTCAGGGGTCGACGCTAGCACCTCCACACACACGACGGCGAGTGGGGCTCAGCGTTCAGAAGCCCCGGCAAGTGTTCCCAGCAGAGCGCCTGGACCCCAGGAACCTGTCATGGGACGCTACGACTGGAGTAAGTCCAGCGTGCGGCGCCCTGCACAGCCAGCGCAGGCGCCCTGCTGTGCGGGGGACGAGCGGCCTGGCGCCGCGGCAGTGGCGCTGGCTGACCTGCTGCAGCTTGTAGTGGTTGATGATGTCCTGGTCGGCCGGACACGACTGGGTGAACGCGTCCAGCAGGTACATATGGTGCATGTACCGCCACAGGTTCTCAAACTCGGACGGAATCTCGAACTCCTGGAAGAACTTGCCTGAAACACGAATCACAACACGCGCTCGGTCAGTGCACTTGAATATGACCGCACAAACGTACGCGCTGACCTGTGGCATAACGATGCCTAGATCTAAAATAGAGAAATGACGGGCCAACCGTACACTGCACCAGGTTATACGCTCATTTTTCAAGCAGCCGCTTCATCTAATACTGGCTTAAAGGAAGGCTGGTGATCAAAACAACACATATATCGGCCACGTTGGCATGTACAGAGCCTCATGCCATCTGATGAAGGCGCAGTGCAGACATACGAACGCTGCGAGCAGCAGACTGTTCGCAGCAAACTTGTCACGACCCAGCTATGGCCAAACAACCCATTTATTTCTTTAAACAGTACATGTCGAGACATTCTTTAATATCAAAAACAACAATAAAACGACATACCTGGCAAAGCAAAGGCAATATCTTTGACGGTACACTACGGTAACACCGAAAGTAACACACGTCGCTCCAGGCCACGCCGACCCTGACCCCTCCCTGCCCGGAAGGGACAGCCTCCTGACCGCGCCATCGGTACGCCGCGGTACGGCGGTCCCTGACCCCCTCCCTGTCAGGAGGGGTCAGTCTCCTGACAATGTCGCCGTTACGCCACGGGTCGGCGGCCCCTGACCCCCCAAGCCAGGGACAGCCTCCTGACCGTGCCGCCGTCACCCACCAGCGACGCGGATGTGCTGCAGCTTGGGCATCAGCTCGCAGTCGAAGCAGCAGAGCGTCTCGCCCGTCAGGAAGCGGGTCTTCTTCTGGCCCAAGTGCTCGTCGATCTTGCGCAGCACCGACAGCAGCACCTGCTTCGAGTGGTCGTCGCCCTTCATCAGCATCAGCTTGAATTTCTGCCGGGGGAAATATGCGAGCTTCAACACGGAAGCCGACGGCTGCCATGGACGCCAACTGTTGTGGAAAGGCTGATCAGACTGAGCATGCTTGCTGCACTAACACGTCATGAGGGATAGGAGTGCGTCTACCAAATAACACAGCGCTAATACCTTGCTGTGAAGGCAAACGCACAGACATGAGCGTCGGCGATTTAGGAACACCACAAACCGACGCCCTCGGCAACAGAGACGGCGTCAGTGTTACGAGCCTGTCTGCAATCCATAAGTGCCCCATCATTTCGCGATGCTCCTCCACTGTCTGCCTCGCTGGTCCCCGAGAGCCTGTGAGGCCACTGTACCGCACGGCGCTCCCGACTCCGCCACGCGTGGCACTTGATAGCCTCGTTTTCCGTAATCCGGCCCGACTCGGCTGCGCCGGGCGCGGCCACTATCTGGCCAACGCCGGGATTACTCCCGAGCCAGGCCCGGCGCCAGTCATGACCGAGCCGGAGCAAGCCGGAGCCGGAAGCCGGAGCCGGAGCCGGAGCCGGAGCCAGAGCTGGAGCCGGAGCCAGAGCCAGAGCCGGGTCCGAGGCCACCAGAGCGGGAGCCAGCGTCGGCCCACAGACACACTCACCAGGCGGTGACCCACCCCCGCGGCACCCGGCGGTGTCTACAGAAACAGCATGCGACGGGGGGGGGGGGGGGAGCAGCGAGCTCGGCGGCAGTTGCCCTCCAATCAGCCAACACAGGTCAGCACGCACCCGCGACGGCCCCCCCCCGCGGCGACAGCGGAGTTCCATCAGCTAAACAGGCGGCCACAGGAGATCTGGACCTTATCAGGAGATGAGAAGCCACGGCCATTCGGACGGCTGCACGGCGCCCGAGGACCGACAGCACCCCTAACCGAGGAGTTACTCCAGCGGGAAATACAACCGACGCAGCCACGAGCCCGCGGGTGTCGCTACGTTCCCATACGCCGCCATGGATACCACAGACGGGCGTCGACGGCGCGATACGGGCATGCTGCCCGCCGCCAGATAGACGGGGCTTGGAACGAGGCCGGGAGGACGGCGCCAACGGCGGTCCAGCGCAGTAAACCACGGGATAAACCACACAGCCGACGCGTTCCCGTTAGTTATATGTTGACGCTGCCGCCGTCCTCGGTAAACTGAAGCGCTCGCCTCAGCGGCGGCACTACAGCGGGACCCAGCGACAGGCGAGCACGCTCCGGCCGCCCTCCCCCTCCCCCGTCACAGATCGTCCGTGAGCTGACCACCACACCCCAGGCTACGCCCGCACAGCCCTCGGCGCTCTGCTCGGTCGCCACGGGCCGACCCCGGCCGACCCCCGCTGCGTCACAGCGCCGCCGCAGCCGCGCTCGTCACCGTCCATATCCCCGGCCGCACCATCAGCCGCACGCCCAGCCTAAAGAGGCGTGTAACGCCGGCGGCCGGCCGCGATGGCCGACGGCCGCCGGGGCGTGACGGACGAGCGGCCGGCCCGCGCCGCGCACTCACGCTGTAAACGTCTCGATCTTGGTGGCCACCTCCTTGTCCTGGACGAACAGGTTGTGGCCGCCGGGCACGTTCTTCATGATGTGCCGCTCGATCTTCTCGTTCTCGAGCACGGCCAGCCCGTTGTCCACCAGGATGGGGCGGCGACGTCGCGTCGAAGTTGGACCTGGAGCACACCGCAGGCGGCCCCGTCAGCGGCAGCGGGCCCCCCGCAGGTCGGCGATCGAGCCTGACAAGCCTCCGACACTACGCGATGAAAAATGTTAGACGAGCGTGCGGGTATGTTTCAATTTGACTGGTTTTTGCGTGATGAAAGTGGCGACCTGGAGACTATAAACAATGAATTTTAAGATCTGGACGACGGAAAAACGAAATGAAGAAACGAACGCTAAAATCATCGACAACTCAATTTGCGATTTTACACAACCGGCTGGACCGGACCATGTTCAAACTGAATATCAGTGAATTCACGACATTTGTTATCTTCGAAACATGCTGGAAAGACTGGAAGACATGCAGCCTGATGAATTGGTCGTCATATCTCGACTATATGCGGATGTTCAGAGAACTATTAGATCAAAGTTCGAGCCCGCCAGTTACTTTTAAGGACACACAACTCCATGGCAAAACATCTGTGTGACTGTAAACACAGTGAAAAGGTCGTGGCCCACTACTGTTTAATCTGCCCCAGTCCACTACCTCAACAAAAGTGAAGTTCGTCAAATTAAAACGCCTGGGAAGGTGTCCCAACAAGGCCAAGGCTGTCTGCCACATGATGTGAAGTTCTAAGCTAGGGATCATGAGATTTACATCTACAACTACTTACATCTCTTTGCTTGGTTCTCAGCACTGGGTTTGGCGCCTGATCGGCTCCGCATCTCATTCATACGGCATTTAGACATGAGCTGCAACGGCGTCTAATACAGGGCCAGGCGGGGGTCCGACCCTGCCATGACGTTCCGTTATGGCCATTTCCCATAAATGTATAGCACGGCGGAGTACGACGCCTGCATACGCGGCGCTTCGCACCACCCGGCGGTGGCGGCCCGCGCGGTCCACGTCAGCGGGACCGCCGCCGGCCGCCGGTGACGGAGCGTGAAGCCCGGCGCGGCGACAGATCCCATGCATAGCGGCGCTGGCCGGATCAGCGCCGATAGCGCCGGTCGGCCCGCGGGACGGTGGTCGAGGGCCGACAGATTCATGACCTGTCGCAGCGCGGTCTCACGTCTGACCGCGACCCGACCTGGGCCGGAAGGGGCCGGCACGCTCCGACGGTCCGTCCGCCAGGCTTTCTGGACCGTGTCAACTTCAACGTTGTATGCTAAATGGACGAGTTCTTTAAATACTGCATACAAATATGTACCGAGCCAATAGTCAGCCAGGAAGAGAGGCAGCAAGAAAAGCGCTCGCAGTTTGGAGTTTTGATCGCACCCCGCTGGGGACGATTGTTGAGGATCCACGCAGCTCCACTATTCTCGCTCTAAGTTCCCAGCCGTCGGAGGTACCGTTAGCAAAGAGTGCACCCTGGGAAGTCAGGTCGTCACTGCTTTAAAGCCACGATGGGAACACGTGTGTGCCAGACGCCTAGCAGTCGTTTTGGATCTCATCATTTAATTATCTTACAATGTCTCGAACACAGTTACTCGCCACTGGATGGGCGACGAAACGGCTCGCCATCTGCATTTCAATGAAGCCAATGAATCAAATGTAGGGTTTTTACGATTTAAGATGATAAATAAAACAATCGAAACCAGTCACGTTTGAACTGAAAACACTGGGAACAGATATATCTCCAACAAAAAGGATGAAAACAGGCCAAGGTTATAGAACCCCCGAGGATCAGACCCAAGAACCCATATGTGCCATCTATCGGCCGAAAGGGTTACTAGAGCTTCCGTTACCTGAAATCTGGAGGCGGTTTCAGCATGTCGACGGTGGTGACCTTGAGCGAGATGGTCTTCAGCTCGGCCAGCAAGTACAGGTCCATGAAGTACTCCTGGCAGAACAGACACGCTCCCTTCCGCCGGCCATCGATGGTCGAGGCCTGCAACACAGCCGACCGGCCGCGTCAGTCGGACTGCACACTACGGCAGCTCACCCGCATGGTGACAACACGCTCTTCTGAGTCCTGGCAGGGGCGCTAACCGATTGATAGGCACGGGGTCAATGGGTTAACGCGCCCGATACATGAGACGTATACAGAGAAAACTGCGGCGCACATGACATAGCGCGGACGCTGCTTTCCACAAACATCACTTCAGGGGATCTGGTGGCGGTTTTTTTGTTTTTCGGAGGTCGCAACGGCGGCATACAAATATAGAGCTGCACCCCGTTCTATACCACTCCCAGCAGTATCGTCATACACCGGCTGCAGGACGGCTGACGTCCGCCGGGCTGCAGCCGTGCGTCATCATCTGTCCAGCTCCACCCACCACAGGCTGGCCCACCCGGGGGGGGGGGGGGGGGAGGAGACAGCGGGGACTCGTCAGCCCCGGGAGGAAGTGCCAGCCCGGGGACGCCTCCGCTTGCGGCGTCTCCGCGTATGGGGTCGTCGTCACGGCCCCACACGCGCTCACAATGTGCCGCCGGGTGAGCAGGTGTGCTGACTCACATCCGCGGACGACCTCAGCGGCTCCCGCCACGGCTGGCCGACGGGTCGTCAGCTGCAAACGGCGCCCGGCTCCGGCTGCAGCCCGCGCCGCTCGCACCGTACCGAGAGCGCGGCCTGGTTCCGGAACCCGCGGCCTGCCGCCGCCGGGCTCACCTCGCCCACCGACTGGAGGGAGGTCACAGGCGCCGACCTCTCCCAATGCCCACAGTCTGGTCATACGCGAGGCGTCGGGGTTTTAAGGGAAGCAGCGCGTGTGACGAATGAAGAAAAATGCTACGCACACCATCGAGCTTCAGTTCCCTCCCCTCCCCGCCCCCCTACGGTCGGTATGACAACGCGACGGCAAATGCTAACGCAATTAGAAGCCCCACACGACAATACACATGCGCCCTCCGTCTCAGACCGAGCGAGCGGCCGGCGCCAGCGCTCCAGCCCAGTGTCAGTTCGTCAGCGTGACCGTCGCCGCCCGAGGTCGGAGCTCGCGCCGGTCCTCAGAGGCCTCCGGCTGCGTGACCGTCGCCGCCCAAGGTCGGAGCTCGCGCCGGTCCTGAGAGGCCTCCAGCTGCGTGACCGCCGCCGCCCCCGCTGCCCGCCGCTGTTGGCGGCGCTGAGCACGGCCGCGCTGCCGGGTCAGCCCCCGCGGGCCGCGCTGCCCGCCGCTGTTGGCGGCGTTGAACACGGCCGCGCCGCCGGGTCAGCCCCCGCGGGCCGCGCCGCCCGCCGCTGCCGCGCCACGCGTCACGTCCGACATTCGGCGGACGGGGGAGGGGGGGGGGGGGAGGGTGTGACGGGTGCTGATAGCGTCATGATAGCCTAATCACGACATGATAGCAGAATCGGCCCCCCAGCCGCCCGTCCGTGCCGACCTACGCGGCGGTACTTCTGCGGTACAAAGTCTGAGCAGA